GTGAAATGATGTGAAGTTTATATGAAATAATTCATATATGAACTGCGGTTGTAGATGAAAGTGAAGAATGATCATCGCAGTAAATTTTCCAATATAAATTTAAGCAAAACAACGCCCCTGAAAACAGATCAAGCTGCTAATCACATTGTCAGGATAATGAACGAACTCACACAAAAGTAAAGCCATATTCATGCAAGTATTGCAATAAGTGCTTCAGCTTCTCATCAGCTTGCGGGATGCATGAACGAACTCACACTGGAGTAAAACTGTAAAACTTGCAAGCGACATGAACGAACACACAAAAGTAAAGCCGTATACGTGCAAACATTGTAAAAAGGATTTTAGCCGGTCATCAAATTGCGAGAGATGCATGAACGAACCCATGCATGATAGAAGCCGTACATTGTCAGTAATAATTGCTTTGGACGATCATCAAACTACTAAAAGTGTGAAGAACTGAAGTCTTGCAAGAGAGCTCGTTAAAACGAAAGCAACATGATTATTGCTTTAAACGAAGAAGACATCTTCTGAAATCCTTGAATGCNTAGCCTTTTTCAAAAAATTTTTTCAGAAATTAGAGATTATTCTTAGACCACTATTTTGACCCAAAAATCCAAATTTGAAGAAAATTGCCGACCCGAAGGTATACTGTAACCTTAAGCTGCTAATCACATTGCCCGGATAATGAACGAACTCACACAAAGGTAAAGCTATATTCATGCAAGTATTGCAATAAGTGCTTCAGCTTCTCATCATGCAGCTTGCGGGATGCATGAACGAACTCACACTGGAGTAAAACTGTATTCATGCGAGCATTAAAAAAAGTCCGTTAGCTGCTTATCAACTTGCAAGCGACATGAACGAACTCACACAAAAGTAAAGCCGTATACATGCAAACATTGTAAAAAGGATTTTAGCCGGTTATCAAATTGCGAGAGATGCATGAACGAACCCATGCATGATAGAAGCCGTACATTGTCAGTAATGATTGCTTTGGACGATCATGAAACTACTAAAAGTGTGAAGAACTGAAGTCTTGCAAGAGACAGCTCGTTAAAACGAAAGCAACATGATTATTGCTTTAAACGAAGAAGACATCTTCTGAAATCCTTGAATGCTGTTTTCTTTGACAGCAGACGATTCCAGCCAAGTTGAAAGATCAAAAGCCTCAGCTCTTCTATTTGTCAGCGGCAATTTAGTAGAGAGGCATGTATTGTCCATTATTACAATGAACATATGAGATAAGGCAACGCTTATTTGCAAAACGCAGATCCCAGCAGTAGAATCAATACGGACATCAAAGGGATACTCAGTCCATATTAGCCGGGCGTTCGTATTAAGGGAGGACACCCAAGTTCTATTGTTACAGTGTTTTTAAAAAGTCTTACATTGGTAAGGGAACTCACTGGAAAATTACGTCGAGTTGATGTTACTACATTTTGGTGACATCCAGATTTTGATCTAACACGAAGTAAGTGTGATTTTGTTTTTATTTCTCTCCTGCTACCTAGGAAAAGCACAAATCTAAGTAGTTAGCATGTCGGGTGGTAACCAATCCGCTAATCCGTACCGATTTAATTAAGACTCAGGTTTTCATTTTGTTCTACCCACGGGGTGACATGGTTACCGTTTCTTTTTAGACCATGTATATCATAGTAGGATGCTGTAGTATCAGAATTTTGACGGGCAAATTGAAAAGTCATCGAAAAACGTAAAAGTAAATCTCCACATTCCACTATTTCAAGGACGTTTTGACCTCTTTTGGGAATCGATGGCCACGTCCGGCACAATATGTTTCTGATCTCTATTGTTTATACATTTATCTTGTTGCGTTTGTGTATAATTTTTTCAACGTTGTAAGCCGGGCGTGAGGTCGAGAGGACTGCAGTAAACGTCCTGCTATGTCCATTTAGGAAAACGTATTAAATGTTACCTTGTTTAAAAAAAAAACATCTGTCTTGTGTGACTTATTACGTGACTCGATAGTGTGTGAGACTTTTTGCGTGACGTTTTCTGTTCCCATGACAACCATCCATCACAAACATCAATCAACCGTGACATGACGTGATGACGTCATTTGATAACTACCTGTCGAATCCTACCTAGTCGAACCGATGAAACCACTAGCACTTGAGTGTACCTCCCGAGGGTTAGGGTCGAATATAAACCGGGGGAGAACGACAGGGGTAAGGACCTGTGTTGTTACCACTGTATCGAAGTAAAACACTGCACTTGCACTATGTGAGATTGCCCCACTAGTTTTGTAACAACGTTTGTTGGGTTCTGGATGTTTTGGCAGGAACAAGTTGCACATGTGACATGTGACCTTCATATCTCACCTCCTATCCCTCATCGCTCAATTTACGACCCGTCCATCACTTCATACACCCGCTAGTCCCAATCGTCCCCACCTATTATTTCTCAACTTTTATCGCCTAGAATTCACCACCTGTAACGGGAGATAACGGTAAAATGTTGTCTTTAATGGCGCACAAACAGCGCTAGCCGTTACATTGCGAAACTGACCG